CTGCTCATTTCAGTTGAATCGTGCATCAGCCCAAAGAAAGGATTCCTTTCATGCAGCTGCTGGGTTGGGCCGAGAGGAGATCAGGTCCGGCCCCCCTGTGTGCATGCATTCTTATTATGGCAAAATATTCCATGGAAAGCATATCTTCGATGCAATTGTGAAAACCCCATTAAAAATATATATAATTAGAAGTTTTTAAAACATTCGAAACTATGCACATTCATAGTACATCTATTCATGAACATTGCTACAAAATTTGAGATTCAAATACATTTTATAAAAATTCATAGAAAAATAACAAATTTCAGATGCATATGCATAGATGACAAATTCCTAAAAATTTTGTCTTCTCATGCATATGCATCTAAATTTTTTTATTTTCGTATGAGTATTTTTAGACAGAGTTTTAAAAATTGTAGAAAAATAAAAAATTTCAAATACATATGAATTAGAAGACGAATTTCTAGTAATTTTGTCTTCTAGTGCACGTGCATCTAAAATTTGTTATTTTCGTATGAATCTTCCAGACAGAGTTTGAATCTCAAAATTTATGACAATGTAAGTCTATATATGCGCTATGGATGTGCATAGTTTGAATGGGCCTGTTCGCTGGTTGGTGCTGGTGCTGGTTTTTTGTGAGAGGAAAACACTATTGGCTAGCTGGTTTAGGCTGGCTGAAACCAACAAGCGAACAGGCTGAATATCAAATCTTAAGAAGACTGAGCCGAAGATGTGGTTTGCACTATGAATGTAAGTATATAGATGCACTATGGACGTGCCAATGTCGTAAAACTATGTGCTTCTTAGCACCTTCCTCTAATACATCGACGCGCAAAGGCAAGGTCTTTCGAGTTCGCACGAAACAAGAGTACAGCTTTATGCCCATTCCGAGAGATTCCAATGTCTTCTTCCTTTTGTTAAACTGCTGAAGAGATGATTGGTTAGACTGTCTCCAACAATGAACCTATATGGGCATCCAAACCCAAAATAGATAGTAAGAGATCCAAAATCGGCCTTCAACAGAGTACCTATACGGGAGACCTTATTTTGGGTTGCCTGAGAGGCACAACCAAAATATGTGCATTCTCTCTCCTGAAAACCCATTTGCAGAAAGAGTTCTCTTTTGGGTCTTGTTGTTGGAGAAGATGCCGAATAGGTATGAAACCTTTTGCCTGTAACGCTATCCAAAAAATAAATAAGTTTTATATTTTAGGTGATGTTGTTGAAGATAGCCTTAGGCAGTTAGGTCACTCGAAACGCTAGGGAAGGCCTACCAGCTGCCACAAGACAAGAGCGGGCCATGTTGAGGAAGAAGCGTGTTTGTGAGAGCGCTGGTACTTTCCTTTTCATAAACTTTGGCTCGAGGTGTAAAATCTTCTCAAGGAGACGAGCACATCAGCACATGACAAACCACGAGTCCATGACAGGTGCATGACTATTGCCCTGTTCGCTTAGCTTATAAAGCCGTACTTTTTCAGTCAATGAACAGTATTTTTCTCTCACAACAAATCAACCAGTAGTATTTTCAGCCATGACTTATCAGCCAAACGAACAGGGCATATTACGTTAGTTGTCAGATGATCAAGGCTGAAGCAAAGCATTTCTTCAAGGGCAAAATTCCACGCGGGCCAATCCCTAGTCTGATGTTTTTTTAGGGGAAAAGCATTTCCATTACTGAAACGACGCTGAATCATCAGCAAGTAAATACAAGATATGTGCCAGGATGGAATCCAAAGCTGGTTCCTCAGCCGGATCACATGAACTCCCTAGGGGCGCTAATTCATGAGCAACTCTATTACAAGACCGAGGTCTCTGTTGGACAACCCAGGAAATAAAATTCAGAGAAAGCAAACTGCGGAGCTCCTCGGCGAGGTGAGTGACAGCACTGAGGCATGGAGCAGCTATTCGGCAGGACTGAAAAATAAACCAAAATACTGTTCCGGCTGATTATTGTAAGAGAAAAATATTCTTCTGTCTGAAAACACTGTTCATGTGAGCAGTACTGCCGTGAGTGCGCTGGCCAGCCCAGCCAAACGTAGCCAACCAGCCGAACGCAGCCTAAAGTGGCCCCTAACAATTTTTGTGATTCTACCTGCTAGTCTCCCAAACCGAAGCTCCAATTAGTCTCCAAATGAAGTGGCCAGCTGCCACTGCTCTGCTGTTCACTGTTTCTTTTCGACGAAGCTGGTGGTTATGTTCCACTGCCCTGTACTCCTGCGCCTGCTACGAAATATGATGGCTGACCAAAGCCACAAAAATACAGACAACAACGTAAATCATAAATCAACATATTCAGAAATCCACATTTTTTTGCTAGGATTTCAGTAAGAGATTGGCGTTCAAACCACTGGAGCCAAATGCAACTAGTTCATCGCATATGGTACCTGAAACTTGTTCATGACCTAGCACTAGCAGTATACGCCCACTAGTCAGGTGCAGAAGTTACTACCAGCAGTAAAGCTGAAGGCACTATGGATTAGTGGTGCCACTAGCATGCAGTCTTTGCATGCCTTTCAGAGGCCATGCACACATCATCAGTGCATAATCAGGAATTCAAAGCGCAATTAAGGATATGAATGCACGCTTTGATATAGATTAAGAAACCCTAAATGCGCCCAAATTAAGCACTAACAATCTAAACGTCCCCACATGTGGATACAACCACAGTTACAAGCGAAACTATTTATCTTACTACAGTATGTACCACCAGGAAGCCACAACTGCTCGTGTATGCACGTTGACATCAAAGCATCCAGCAGAGGGTAGGGCAGTAACAGGGAGTCATCTTCACATCACATCTGAACCTGACATCGAAAGATGGGAGATCTTTTAGCTAGTCTACAATGTTATCCGACAAAAAGAAGCATATTCTAATACAATAAGTCACAACTCATGTCAAACATAACACAATATTAATGTTGGTAATTTCATCCTTGTTTATATTTTACATATTCCATCAAACCAGAGCACAGAGAGAATAGCAAAGCTGAGCCTACAAAATCCTGGGTTCTAGAACCACATGCTTACCATTATGGGTGCGCATCTGTGGGTTTAGACGGATAGGGAGAAAAAATTTACCCATCCATGAAACCAAAAAATTAGGTGGGCTTGGCTCGGGTGGTAACCGGGTCCAGGCCTAATGCCACCATTCTGCTCGTCCTCACTGGCTTTGGTGGCAGCATAATGATCTCACATAGTCACATCCGGCACACATACCCACCCAACCCATGCATATATTTACTTTTCAGTTTGGATTGGATAGGTTACAAAATCCATGCACACCCTTACTTACCGATAGCTGGATTCCAATTATGGCAAAAGAACTAAACACAAAACAGATTATTAAATGTACATAATTACTAAGCTGTGTAAGCATTAAACTCAAACTGATACGCTTTCAGTTAACTACAAATTAAGAACTGAACCCTCTTACATAACCCTCCCAAGTTTTTATGGTCCCATTTGGTATTCAAAAGTGGCCATATTTGAAAGATTGTTGTTAAAAGAACAAGCCATCTGAGTCCTACAAAATTAGGCCTGCTTATCCAATGGCGACTCCTTCATTCCAAAACATTAAAATAACTTTGTACTTTGCCTTCAACATTAAAGTTTTACCATTAGCATACATTAAAAGAAATAATAATAAATACAAATCATTAACTTGTCCAATTAAATTGAAGTCAGCTAGTATAGCTGTACTATTTTTTACATAACAAAGATGTGCACTCCAAGAGCCTCTCTAAACTTTAATCTCTATATCTCTATTTGGATAGCCATTCCATGAATACTCTTTATATATCTCTCGTGTCTCCAATGGACTCTCTAAGTTTCATTCTCTATATACTCTAATAGTTTATTATAATTTCCTTGTGTGATAAAATTCATGAGAGAACTATCGTATATAAAATATAGAGTGTTGTAGCCTCACCATTAATGGAGAGCAGGAGTGGTGGTTTTGGAGAGTGGAAAAGATGGAGTGGTTTAGAGAGTATTGGAGCCTGATTTTCTAGTTTGTTTTCTAAATTTTGTGATAAAGAGCAATACAGAGAGCCTCTTGGAGATGCTCTAAAGCATGGAACCAGTAATTATCTATAGGCCTGCATAATCTCACTTAAATTTTAGGACTAATAATTACTCCCTCCGGTCCAGTTTATAAGGTGTCTTCTGACATGACACGGTCTCCTAAATTATACTTTGATCATACATTTATTTTATATTATATTGTTTATGATTACAAACTTATGATTATTGGATAGTGCATTTGATTAAAAAACTAACAATAGTATCAAGTTTGTATTACAATAATTAAAAGTTTTTAGCCAAATTATTAGTGAAAGATTATAAAGTTTGACTGTTAACCTATGTGAAATGCCTTATAAACTGGACAGAGTAATACTTAATTTTGATAGCTACAGTAATTTATCAGTGAACTCAAAAGATGCTCATCAAACCATGGTCACTTTGAAACTAAGAGCATCACTCAACAATATCATCTAGAAACTTTTCAAACAGCTCATTGTGATTTTTATCTTTTTTTCTGCAAACAATTAACTGTAATAGCAAAACATCCACCCAGCCAAGTTGATCTGTAGACCTGACAACAAACTCAACAATATTTACCGAAGATGGTTGCTTACAAGCCAAAACAAAAGGAGAGATGACATCTGTCTTATGATTATGGGATGTAGCAGTTCAACAGGAAATGTTTATACTAAATGAAGGCAAGTAGTGAACACTGCATGGTAAAGCAGGTTCTTTTGTTTCTGTCCTAGTGTTTTCGTGTAGTTTAAGGAAGTGCACAAAAGTAGTTTTTTTTTCTCAAGTACACAGGAGAGCTGTGCTCAAAAGTAGTAGCAACAGGCTTCAAAGTTCAATTTAGCATACAACTTTACACGTGTAATGTGCATCTTTTTCTAGAGTCTAGACAATTCATTTGTTCACTTAACTACAAGAGACTACTACTTCTATACTAATCCACATACCTCTGACTGTCAGGGAACTCATTCCTCTGTAGCTGGGATAGATTCCTCTGTAGCTGGGGTAGCAAATCTTGCTCTTCTGTTTTCCTTGAGAAGCTGAATCTCCTTATAGAGTCTTTCCACTCTGCTCCACAGTGAGTTGACAGAAAGTCCCCACTCATCTTGCTTTGAGAACCATTCGTACTGGAATCTTTCAATCATACCATTTACCATGGCAATATTTTGCTGCTCCTCCTCACACCGCCTCTTCTCCAACTCCCTCACACCAAGAACAAGACCGCCGCCGCCAGCAACATCACCATAAAGAGGAACATTGCAAGGGAACTTCTTCCTGTACTCATCAAAAGAAGCCCGTGTCTGTTTTAAAGCTTTTTTGTAGGTAGTGACCAACTGAGCCATAACATTCAGATCATGCTCGAAGTGTCTAAGCTCCGCTTGATACTTATTCTGTTGCTCAAACCGAGCTGAGTTTAGGGATTGGATAATGGCTTCCTTCTGCTGCAGCATGTGAGACCACTGTTGTTTCTCAAATTGCAAATTCTGAAGTTTTTGCTCATTCTTCTCATAGAGCCTGCTTGCCTCAACCATCAAGTTCTGTATAGGTACCGAAAAGCTTGCATTGAAAAAGGCTGATCCAGGTGATATGTTGCTACTGTTACTATGCCGCATCCTCTTATGCTGATTAGACTGAGGAAACTCCTCTTGCACCTGCATATTGCCATTGTACCCATCAATATCGTCAATATTCCTCTTACCATTATTCCCAAATAAATATGAGCTCCCTGGTCCCAGGTCCACTCCACTCTTATGTGCATCAGCCCCCATAGCCAAGAAATCCCCAGAAGGCAGATCATGCACATTCTCTGCTACATTGTATGATGAGGGAATTGAGTTCAGGGCTTGGAGGAGGTTTGATGATGTCATCCTTTCCAAAGATGCCCTCGCAGGAAAATCGTCAAACCTTAACTCATCCCTCATCTCAGCCTCCCTTTATTCAGGTTCTCAAACTCCATGCCCCCAAATGTGTTACAGCGTTGTAAGGAATGTGACATTCCCTCATCCCCTGGCCATCCCCAATTCTCCAATTCATGTCCTCTCCATCATTAACGTCAAATGCATCATCCTCTGACTCCTCTGCCTCTTCATTGCCACTGTCACTCTCATCCTCATCCAAATTCTCAACATTAGTTTCCTCTTCCACATCCATAGCACCATAACCATTGGTAGAGTTAAACCCCAAGCTCAATCCCATTGCATCCCTCTCTTCATCCCCCTCAGCCTCCTCATCCCCCAACTCGTCTGCAACAGCCACTACCTCCTGTGTTACAACTACTGCCTCCACCGAGGGTTCTTCACCATCCACATCTGTAGGCACTGCCACATCATCACCGCCTGGCACATCATCACCCCCCCTGGTGGTGCTTCCTCTGTCGTTTCCTCATTATTGTCAAGCCTTGCCTCATGTACAGCAGGCACAGCTTCAACTGCCACAAATCCCAAACATAAACCATCCGTGTTTGTGCCATTGACGTGCTCATCCACGGTGTTCATGTCATCGAAGCTTGGACCCTTAACATCCTCTTCCACCGGCTCTGATTCATCATTCAAGCTCTTGCTCCTTGCGTCTTCATTGACCGCATCCAATTTGACTATATTGTTGTTTATGGCATCCACAGCCTCAGATTCATTCATGCTCTTGCTCCTTGCGTCTTCATTCACCGCATCCATTTCATCTATATTGCTGTCCATGGCATCCGGATCCACATCCACAGCCTCAGATTCATCCAAGCTCTTGGTCCTTGCATCTTCATTGACCGTCTCCATCTCGTCTATATTGTTGTCCATGGCATCTGGATCCACATGCACAGCCTCAGATTCATTCAAGCTCTTGCTCCTTGCATCTTCATTGACCGTCTCCATTTCATCTATATTGTTGTCCATGGCATCTGGATCCACATCCACAGCCTCACATTCATTCAAGCTCTTGATCCTTGCATATTCCTCGACCACCTCTAGTTCCTCTATACTGTTGTTCCTGGCATCTACATCCCCTAAACACAACTCCTCCATGACCTTGTTTCTTGTAACAGCATCCCCCAACTCTAACTCGTCCAAACCATCATTCCTTGCACCAGCATTCCCCAATTCCGACTCCTCCAAGCTCTTGCTCCTCACATCGTTACCCGCATCGCCATCCCCATCCCCCGGCTCCAGCTCCACCAAGCTCTTGCTTTTCAAATCCACATCACCATCCTCCTCCTCCATCTCCACATCAGCAGACACCTCCGGAACAGGCCCTTCCTCCACCAGCGCTAACAGATGTGGCTTTTGGGCATAAATGAGCCTCTGCAGGTGCGGCCCGTAGTAACACAACCCGTCTTCCCTCTTGGGCAGCTCGAGCATCTCCTTCTCGACGAGGCCCCAGATCAGGCCCCCCCAGTCAACCCTATGCGCCGCCCCCTCCCTGACCGCCTGCTCCGCGGCGACCACCTCCTGCGGCAGTATGCACATGTCATCCCCCTGGAACGGGAGCAGGACGTAATCATGCAGGAGCTGCATAACGGCAGGGACCACCGCTGCGGGGTCGACGTCGGCTGGGGCCGGCGCCGCGGAGGCGGGCTTCGGGGGTAGGCAGAGCGCGCGGGTGAGGTCGTGGCGCGAGACGGCGACGCGGACGCCGCGGACGAAGCTGCGCTTGCAGGCCGGGTCGTAGTAGGCGACGAGCGGGGCGATGAGGTCGGGGCGCGGGGCGTCGGATTGCAGGTCGAGGCGGAAGAAGTCGAGCAGGCCTGGGGCATCGAGCGCCGCCTCCTGCAGCGGCGGTAGGGCACGGGCCCCGGCAGCTGGGGACTCGAGGGGCGGAGGTTGAGGTGGGCGCGGAGAGGTGGGACAGGCGCTGCTCCGCGGCAGCGCGCTGCTTGTCGGTGAGGGGCTTCTTGAGCTTCTTGCCGCCGCCGCCAGCGAGGGGCTTCCGCGGCGGCATGTCCGGATCCGGCGAGGGTTGCGTGGGGAGGGGATCGGCAGAGTCGGGCATGGCGGCTTGGGGAATTCGGGGAGGGGTCCGCGCTGGCGTGGGGAGTGGGGACGCTTGCTTGGGTTCTTCGCGTGGGTTTGGGCTTTGGTTTCCAAGTGGGTGTGGATCAAATAGTTGAGGGAGATGAGGGGCTTTATTAAAAATGTTTTTGTCCTATTTCCAATTTGGATCAAATTATTCAAATAGCTGAGGCATATGGTCTCGATGGCTTGCGTTATTGCTGCTCTTAGAGCAATCACACAAAATGAAAGTACAAATTTCTTCGCTGAGTTTTCAAGTACTTGTCCTCTACTGCTTTTCTTTACAAACTCTAGATTCTGTAGTCTACTACAAATTGGAAGCTCACACAAAATGTGTACGAAAGAAGCAAATTTAAAGTAGTTGCTCCTTATCATTCTTGGGTATTTGTGCAAAAATAAATAAGTATCGTTTTTATCTTAGTTTTTCCTGATTACTGTAATTGCTATGATAGCGTGACATCAACACCAAAACAAGCAAATGATTTCCAAATTTATCAACGGCTTTTAAGGCACCAAACATACTAGTAGAGAAGTTATTTTCCAACAAGAATTCGGGAGTCCAAATTTGCAACGGTAAAAGCATGTACTGTATATAGTATGTACATCATTTAACGCGATATTAATGTTCACTACCAATAACACAGTAGATTTTACGGTTTAGACTAGAAACTAGCGATATGGTCACATGGTTTCCACCACACCCCAGGACTCGCTACGACACAAGAGCCATCACGTGCCACTACAGGTGAATGATGGCCCAAAGGTTTTTTTGCGATGCTTCTGTGTGTGCAGCAGCTTCCAAATCAAACCTATTCTGGATTAGGCAACTTCATACTTACTTTCCTTACACATAGCGTCTGCACGACATCTTTTTTTTTCTTCAGGTTGTCATTCCATATCACATGGAAGATGGAATCCATGGAGGCAGAAGCACATGCACTAACTACTGTGGGCCAAGGTGAAGATCTATGCGCCTCAATCATAGTCCTAGCCTTTGGTCTCTAGGACCGATTCTTGTTGAATTGGCAAAAATCACTCGAAGAATGCAGCATTCAGTCATCAAGATTATTAAGAGGGAAACAAACAAAATTGCTGATAAGCTCACAGAGAAGGCTACACAAGCAGAATGCAACACTGTCATCAAGATTAAGAGGGAAACAAACAAAAATGCTGATAAGGTCACAAAGGAGGCCAGACAAGAGAAACGAACGTTAGGACCTCTTGTCTCTATTCTGCACTTTAGAACTTCCAATGGAAAATGTCCCTGTTCCAGCCCATCTCCAAACTCTGTTTATAGTAACAAATATCTTTTACCGTTTCAAAAAAAAGAAAAAAAAACTTGTAGTCGACCCAACCAATTGCCAGTGACGTAAGTTTTAGGTAACACCACGTCGCTTAATAGTGATTCATCAAGTGCCGTCTATCAGTTACCCGAAGTTGTAATGGTAAGACTCAGTTCGGATCATGATAAAGGAGAGCACTAAGACTCAGTTCTGATCATGAGAAACGGCAGCATTACCATGTACAAAGTAGATTTGCAGCATACAACAAGCAAAGTTATTAGCCATAAAAAGACTAGTTTCACTGCGTGTTTGTCGTCCATCAGTCCAAAGTAAAATGAGCAGCAACCGCACTACAAAACCTGGATCCCAAAACCCTCGGACCACCCATCAAACTATATAAAATCAGGTACATCTTTTAAGCTAAGGCTAACCACCAACACTCAAATAAAACGAACTCTGCTCAAAGTGCTATTCTGGCACTAGTAAATAACTTTGCCGGTGCAGGTTCGTCACAGCCTCTACTCTGGGATCATCTGCTCATTATCAGCATCGCCCTCAGTTTCAATTTGGGGTTGCTTTGGAGCGGAGGCTCCAGGAGCCTGCTTCTTCTTGATACCGCTGACAATGTCATCGATTCTCAAAAGCATGCAAGCAGCCTCAATTGCTGTCTTGAACGTCTGCGCTTTAACGCTGTAGGAATCCCAGATCTAAAATGGACAACATTGTGGTGTTTAGACATACAAACATTGGTCAAACTTGCATTTGTGCAGATAAAGAGAAATACCTTTCGCTCTTTCATATCAACAATATCACCACTCCTTCCATCAATGCCAACCCATGCATTTTCACCATTAGCATGCTGATGCAAGGAAAAAACATTCATGTGATCTATGTAAAGTAGCTATTTTTTCTAATAATCAATCATAACATCTCAAATCCATTATAAGCCTATGTTCTCCTAACTCAGATTTTAAGGCAGCTTGCTGAGGGGCTGAGGGTGGCCAAAAAAAACCCCTATGCAAGGGACACCGCTATTAGGAACACAAAAATTCACCAGATAATTTAGTGAAATTTTTTATTTTGCACCTTCCACTTGGTCCCCCTGATGAATAATTTCTGGCTCCTCCATGCTAAACAGGGTCCCAGTGCAGTACTTCCAAAATAGTGTTCAAGATAAATTTGCATGTAGATGCTTCAATACGTTCCAAAGCATTTTCAAGGTGCAGCTTTAATTGAATTTCTGCACTAGGAGAACCCACAACACCCTCTATCCCAACCTTTCCTAAATGTCAAGTTTATGATGCTTCTGATAGAAGACATGTACCACTTCCATACAGGGACAAGTTCACAGAAACATAAAAAGAGTTTTGGGATTATTACCTTTCCCTGAAGTTGTGTCATTATCCTAATAACATTCAAACCGCAATTTTGGGCCAAAGTCCTTGGAATTGCCTCAAATGCTAGAGCAGCAGCTTCATAGGGCCACTGACATAAACAAAAAACAAAATCAATCAGGAATTGCACATCAAAGAATGGTGCACTAATCCACTCAGCACAATAACATCACATTTGCAGAGTATATGTGGTCACAGGCTTACAGAATTAAGCACTGTTGCACTAAGCATCCACATAAATATAGCTTAATCGACCGTTAATATCCAATACAGGTAATCAACAATAGCAAAACAATACCTTTTCCACGCCTTCAACTGAAGAGCTCTTTTGCTTCAGTGTTGCTGATACAGTCAGCTCTGTAGCACCACCTCCAGGAAGGAGTTTTGGATTTTTTAAAATGTTTCTTGCAACGGACATGGCATCCTGCATCGAAAATTTACACAGACCATTATGTTAGCCTAAACTTGGACATGCTTTGAGGGAAATGAGTGTTCATTACAGGTAGTTGGGTTCCATGTAATTCCTAACAAAAATAGAATATTTGTATACATAGTTACAATAAAAGAGACAATAAGGGAAATTAAAAGAGGAGGGAACCAAAGATCCAATGCTAATCAGACACTGAGGTTGCTTAGATGGTCAAAAGGATTCTACTGGCCATCAATGAAACAAAATGCTGAATTCAAATTTGCAGGGAATGGCTGGCTGAGATCATATTGTGCCTGCCAACTAATACACGAAAGGTTTCTAGAATTATTTTGTGCAAGGAGTACAAATTATTTTTGCAAGGAGTACAGATACATGGAAATGGGGAGGAAGAAATACCTGCAGGTTTCTCTCAACTTCATTCAATACATCCTTGCTTGCTCCCCTCAACAGAACAGTACATGCCTTGGGATCTTTACAGTCAACAATAAAGGCAAAGAATTCATCGCCTATCTTTTTGACCTCAAACAGGCCAGCTCCTGTTCCCACATCAGATTCTTGGAGCTCCTCAGGCCTGTTCACTATAACTGCTCCACAAGCTTTAGCAATCCTGTTGTTGTCAGTTTTCCTAAGTCTACGGATTGCACTAACACCAGCCTTGCTCAAATAATGGATAGCGAGATCACTGAGCCCTTTCTCTGTGATTACTAAATCAGGCTTGAATTTTAGAATTTGAGCGCTTTGGTTCTTTATGTATTCTTCCTCCATCTCTAGCAGAACCTGCCTGCAATAAAGTTTGCCACATAATATAAATTAGAACTCTACCAAATTACTTTTAAAACTATGCATGCATTGCATTTCAGTAAGATCATTGTGGTACATGGACATCTCTTACCAATCTTCTTCCTTCATCAACTCAGCATTGGTCTGATTTTCTCCTTTCTTATACTCAACAGGGCAGTCCAACAGGATGATACGGGGGTTAACTATCTTTCTCCTCATTTTTCCAGGAGTCACAACATCCTTATTGATCATAACTCCTTTAAGGACTCTAGAATCCTCCAACTGACCACCAGGAACCTTTTCAACTTTAATGTATTTCTTGATATCAACTTCACGCATACCCTGACCAAGGTCAACGCCTGCTGTTGTAGTAGCATCAATAGCAAGGTCCTGAATACAGCAACATGAGGTATCAAATAAGTAAAATCCAAGGTTGGATAGGTGGTACTCCTCCCTGTTCAAAATTATTTCATCATTTTGGCATCGTCCTAAGTCAACTGTAACTTTGAACACGCTTTTAGGAAAATATATTACCATCCACAAGTTCGAATAAATACACTAACAAAACATATTTCGTGGAGAAATTAATGATACTAATTTGATGTTGTAGATGTTGGGCTGTTGATTTTTTTTTTTCTTTTTTTGTAAACTTGGTCAAAGTAAAAGAAGTTTGACTTAAAGACAAAGCCAAAGTGAACTATAATCTGGAGGAATTGTTGAAGTTCCACATGGAAGAAAGATGCTTACAGCAATAAGATCACCAAACTGGCCAGTGAATTTTGTACCAATGGAGCTCTTCACAAGGCCTAGCATTGCCCCACCTGCATTAATGGTATATTCAGTGACATCAGTCTAATTTTTTAACACATGGTGTATGCAAGGGGAAAGAGCTAATTCCGTTGAACACAAATGTGCCATTGGCAAAGTGCCAGGATCCAGTGCAAAATATATGTTCACTGTAAACTTACGATCATTCACATCAACAGGCATTGCAATTTTGTCAAGTACAGCAATAGCATCATCAAGCGCTTTGGTGTATGCTGAAGATGAGAAAAAAATAAGTTTCAGAAGACAAGAGATCAAGAAAAAAAAA